TCAGCAAGAATATTGCAGAATCGTTCTTTGATGGAAGTGAAGCGAAACTCGGATATCGTGCCGATATTATTCAACTACAAAGTAAAATAATTCAACTAAAATACCTTTGAGAAGACCGAGCCATACCAAATTTCAATTTGATTATATGTTGAAATTTTTTTTGTCGATTCTCATTTGTTTGAATTATTTTTCACGCGTTTTTCTGTCATCCCTCAGGAACGTTTAAGTTCCAGAAGACGGATCTTCGACGAGACGGCTTTGACCCCCGGGTGGTGTCAGACAGACTGTACTTCCTGGATTCCAGCAGAGGGCGCTACGTGCGACTAGACGAGGAGTTGTACCGCTCCGTACTTTCAGGGAAACATAAATTGTGATCATGGAGCTTCCCTTGACATCACCACGTGTATGTATACACACGCTCGCACACAAACGGATACAAAAACGACAAGGTATTTGCGTCATCAAGATGGAAAATTGCAGGAAATGAAATGGCCACACACATATTCCCACATCCCCCTAGAGCCCTTTTTGGATCGCCCCGGCACACGCAGCAGCGCTCCCTTCATCCTCGCTGAAGTCTCCCTGGCACCACCTCAGGCTACCTCAGTTAACACACATAATAAAAACACACACGCACACACACACGCAGCATCATAAACCCAGTAACCAGATCTCACTGGTATCTTGAAACCAGCCATCAGAACCACATCGAGTCTGCACTGGATCATGAAAGCCTGTTTTTGCTGGAAGCTCCCCGAGACCGCCCAAAAAGTACAAAGAACCACACAAGTCTTGAAGGATGCTGAGAAGGATTGTGACCCAGAGGAAGCGGTCTGTTTTCTTGTTTTTGTCTTTGGATTTTGTCTGGCGAAGAGGCTCCGAGGGCACTGTAAGCCAACCGCGGCAAAGCACTCCCTCTGCAACCTCACCGCGTGCATTTCAACCTTGGCCGACACGAGACGACACGTGGAAAAGAATTCATGCGTCGAAGGCCCGCTCGAGCGGGACAGCAGTCACTTGGAAAGCACCCCGCAAGAGCTGATGTGAATCAAAGCTTTCTATTCAAATACGTTGCACCAAATGTTAAGTTTGTTTACATATTCAGTGGAAATGGAATTTATTTATGTTCGCCGTAGTTGTGAAAATAGAATTTTTCTTTGACATCTCTCAAGCTTTATATTTTTGCAGAATTGCGCTGCAGAAAGAACATTCACGTGATTTGTTTCGTAGCCACAAAGGAGTCACGCAGACACACTGAAAAGAAAAAAAAATCGGAATAAATCAGAATTTTATTGAGAACACAACAACAAAGTTGGAATTACAAGAAAAAAGTTCATTGTGTTTTTTTTTTGTTTTTTTAATGTTGCAATGTTACGAGTACAAATGTACATGAATCAAAATGACCCGAATATCATTCTGACTTTTTTCTTGTAACGATGTGACTGTTTTTCTCAAAATAATAAGCACATTTGTTCACATTGCGACATCGCCGCAATATTACCACCTTTTTCGCATAATATTGTCTACGAGAGCAACACCGTTAATCTATTAGCAATACGACTGAATTGTCGTAACATTACGACTTCTTCTTATTCTGTTCTTGTCACATCTCGGCTAATTTCTGGGATCAATATGACCTTGTTCAAGTGACATTGCAACTTGTTTCTTTACACCGGTAACATTCCAGCACATTTCTTGTGACATTGTAATTCTCGTAAACAGTGTGGGTTTTTATTCCTCTGAATTTTATTTCTTTTGAGTGTGGCCGTTCTTTATGGGGGATTCTCGTAAACAGGATGGGTTTTATCCCTCAGAATTTTATTTCTTTTGAGTGTGGCCGTTCTTTATGCAGAACCGACTCAGGCAATGCAGTGAAGAAAACAGATGTGTTTTTTTTGTCATGAGCACGTTCAAGTGAGCCGAAAAAGATCCAAAGAAGGCCGGTTCGAGTAGGGAGACCTGCAAAACTTCAAAGGTCTTTTTATTGTTTGTTTTATTTTTTGTTTTCTGTTTTCAGTGTCTGGCATCAAAGTTTGTAAAGGCATCAATGAGCAATGTCAAACATTAGCAGGGCACTGTGCCTTACTGTGATTCACAGGCCTTGGACCACTCACCTCCCGTACAATACAGCAAATATATGAAGTGTGGTTCTCAAGGTCGTTTTCCTTATTCCGTTTTCGTCCCTTCCTCTTCAAATTGAAATCTCGTGAGCTCTGGCTTTTATTTGTGAGACTTGTGCCGGCAGTTGATGCCAAATGAGGTTGCTGCAGACAAAGCTTTAGGCTAGCTTGTAAAAATTTGCTCCCTCATGTTTGGACTCTGTCCCCTAAATGTCTATATCCAAATTACAATTTTTGTTTTGAACCCAACAAAACGTCGGATCCGACGCTGCGCCGATCCGATCGAATCCTCAATTGTGTGTTTTCACCACTGCTTCATTCACTTCTCCGTCCAGCCAACCTTCTTTCTGTTTACATTCTTGCAACCATATGAAAAGAGAAGAGAGCAATCTCATGTGTTTGGTTGTGGTACATTTTGAGGCGTATCACAAATAACCCAACTGGGTGAAACACCAAGTTGGTCCATCAGCTGAGTGCAACTAGTAGTTGCGAAAGCACCCTTAAAGGGGAAGTTGACCCGATCTATCTATCTATCTGTCTGTCTATAGATGTCTATCAATAGATAGATAGATAGATTTTTTTACAATATGTTTTATGCGCCTTGACTAGTCCAAACACTGAATTCTGATCCGCATTGTATTTGTGGGACCAGGTTTTAGCCATGTCAAGGGGTAGCCATTTTGCCACTTGCTGTTAACTCAAAATGACATCAGAGATGCTCAGGCTTCGGCACTGTGATGTCATTTTCAGTTGACGGCAAGCGACAAAATGGCCGTCCCCTGAGATGAATAAAAACGGGTTGATTTATATTTTTAACTCGTACTCCACATGCACAATATTAATCACAATGCTGTGTTTAGATGAGTGGGGCCACAAAGAACATATTGGAATTTTTTTTTGGGGGGGGGGGTTGATGTGTTTTGGTCTGTTTCACCTCCCACTTGTAAAACATAGCTGTTCATCCCCTGGTTATCTCATGGGAACACTTGAGGCCTGTTAATGATGCTTCCAAGAGTCAACTGATCACTGAGGGGGCGCGTGACTCAACAGCCTCACAAGAGCAGCACACTTAAATGAATGGTTGCCATGTTCACTTTTTTTTTTAATGATCTTAAATTATTATTTCTGAGCAACTGTTAATTATATTTTGATTGTTCCATCAATGTTTGTGTATTTTCCATGTTGCGTGTGAAACCTTTGAAATGTCTGATTATTTTTTTTATGAGTTTAAAGGTGGGAGGAGTTCATGCCGAAATGGAAGACAATCTGCTGCAAAACATAACACCACTATTTGTTTCAGATTTCTGAAATGGTCTCACGTTAAAATATACGTGATACGCTTTTAGAAGAGTGTATGGTGACCCTTATGTGTCCGTGTTTAAAACCAGCCGACGCCTGTGGTGAAAGGGAATGAGCGTGTTTACATTTCGAGACTTATTGGCCAAAATGGGGTGTTGTTTTCACATAAGTACAATCTTGAAAAGAGGCATATGAAGCATTTGAGATTTCAAGATCATGAATTACAGTGCAATTGATAACCACTTGTCACCTTCTGGTTGAAATTGCACTGTTTTGGGGAGGCTGGGGCAGTTCTGTCTTTCCTCATTCAATTAATGAATATGGATTTGTTTTGTTTAAATCATGAACAACCAATTTACTGTGAAAGGAATTTTTCAGAAATCCAGTGCCCATTTCAACCATATACATGCACACATCCTGTTTAATTTGATATTAGGTAGGGGATGGAGACACTCCAGAGACCAAACTATTTGTATTCAAGCAATGATTTTTTTTTTTTTTTTTTAATCAGAATGTGTTTCATTGTGATGCCATGAGTGAATATGAATACAGCGAACAATGATAATTTATCGGAAATATCCCTCTACTGTCTTTCTATTGGCCTTTGAAATTATTCATCTGAAACATATTCACCCTTTGTGTTTTACTTTGTTACTATTACCATGTGACACACATAATAAGTTGACATGCTTTAAAACTTAATACAATCTGCAAGACTTCCAACGAAATTCACAATATACATTTTGAACTACTGTACTGTATATCCTAATGTTTTTATGTAGCACTGTTGCGTCTCCTTTCCCCCCTCATGACTCTAATCAACACGTCCCAACCTGATTCTTGCACTTTTTCCTTTCTCTTCCACCCCCCGACAACATGAAGCGACGCTAGAAAAGGAAAAAAAAAGTTTGTACACGAGTGCTTTAAAGCTTATTTTTGTTTTGTAGTATCATGTCCCTGCGCAGGTGGCAGCTCTTGGCTCATGCAGAGTGTGTGGAATATAAAAGAGGGGAGGTGTGTGAGGTGTGCTGTGTGTCTGACATACACACTGATGTCCTCTGATCCACCACAATGTTGCATATGTGGATTTCAAGCGAACGAGAAAAGCTGTGTTGAAAAACGAATAAAAACTATTTAAATTGTTGACATGGGCTATAGTTTGTGAACTGTACCATGTGAGGGAGTAATATTCATTCCTTTCTCCCATTTCAATTAACAGCATCACGCTTAGGCCCATCAGAGCCTTTGATCATTCATATAAAAAGTCTGCACACCCCTGTTCAAATACCACTCTTTTGTGAGATGCAAACATGATAGAATAGAAAAGAAATTAGCTGCGTGACCCAAAATCTCATGAAACCAAAGCGTCTGTGCTTGTGAGGTCCCCACATGAACCTCAGCTGATGCTCCAAACCACTAAGCTATGATATATTAAACCGCCCCTTCCTCCACTGAATTTATCAGAGCCAGACGCTTGTTTTGGCTCCTCCAACTCTTGGCCCCCGTTTCCTGCTCTCTGCTGCTGCTCAGCCGTGATTGGTTGACCACTCGGTGGGTGGATCGTCCGGAATAAACAAATATCGCTGCAGGCAGTCTTCAAGTCCACTTGGACAACAATACGCTCGCTTGACTTTTTGCACGTCTATCGTTTATTTCGGCCCCCGTCCACGCCACCATGAGGACCGCCGAGGTGGCTGTTGTCATGGTGATGTTGTATACATCAATGGCGCACAGTGATGTGAAGCCGCAGAGGGATTTCAACTTACAGAGGGTACGTTCAGCTTTGTGTTTTTTTTTCGTTTATCTTCGTCCATTCACCATTTCATTGACTTTACAAGCGTTCCTTGTGTTTCCTAAAACCAAACTTTAAGCATTTACTTGAACATTATCGTCGTTATTGCTACACCTAGACAAACGGGCTGTTTTTGTTTTTGTTTTTTAACAAACTAACTTTAATTTAACTAGCTAATGTGCTACAAAAAATGTATAGCAAACTTCCTAAGTGTTCTAAAAGCATTTAAATTTGAGTTGTCTCATGTTTAAATGTCTTTAAGTACCGCATGTTTAACGGAAAAGGAGCATACAAATGCTGATACGGTCACTAATGGTTTATGGCTTTAACGCACAATTAATAAGTGATGAATCTGTTGATGAATCAATGAGCTGTACAAAATAACATGTTTTAATTTCCATCATTTTTTTTTAAACAGGAAATTATTTCAAATTGACTCACTTTAATAGCTCATCTTAAAAATCATTTTGTGGCCATTTGTTTTGCATACAATTATTGCCAGGAATTTGTCAAATAAATAAGAAAATAAAAATCAAGACCAAAAATAAAAATTATACCAACAAGCTCATAACTAGCTCTAGAAAGCTATTGAGGTAAGTGCGCTTAAATAGTTACAGTGTATTGCTACTGTACTGCATGCATATTTGGTACATGAGAATTTTCCTTTGATTTTACATTTCTAATGAAGTTCTTACTTCTTCCACACTGACTAAAGAGGCAAGTGTTTAATTTCCCCCAAAAATATTTCCTTCAAAATGCAACGTAGCTAGTTGGGAATGGCCTTACAAACTGAGTAAAGCGCAGCAAAAAATTAGAAAACTGATTTTGGGTCCTGGAGAAAGTTTCTCCTGTTAGAAAAAAAAATTATTGTGTGACATCATCAATACAATTTTTGGTCAAAACTTGTTGCAAAGAGCCCACTACCCTTGGTGAAAATCCAATTAACAAGTTAACTAACTTCAAAATAGCTAGCTAGCTAACATGCTAATTAACTTAAGTAGGATATGTTTAGCCTGTTATGTTGTTTGATGATTTTTGCTTAGCATGTTAATGAAGTTTGATTAGTAGGAGTTGACTGAAGCTTGAAGCAGTTTGATGAGTTTGTGTGGCGTTTTGCTCAAGTGGTTTTTCATGTTGTTAATGTGGTTTGCTGACATTTGTTTAACGAGTTGCTAATTTTAGCTGGCAAGCTGATGCTGACGAAAACTCTGCTGATACCTTCAATGACCTTGAGTGCTATCTTAAAAGATTTGACAACAGACAAATAGTGTGAACCTATTGATTATTTGGTGTTGTCCTCAAATGACCTTTATAGAGTACTTTTACTGCACTGTTTTGTGTTCTTTTACCGGCAGCAAATGACTCCATGGCGTATGCGTGTGTTTAGTTTGCAGGTAGGTGGTACCGCGTGGGCCTGGCATACGACTCACCGAGCTTTGTTCAGTACAGAGACAAACTGAGGGTCTCCCTGGGTGTCGTCACGGCGCAGGCAAGCGGCAACGTTAACCTCACGATGTGGGACGCCACGTGAGTGTCTGTCGACTCTATTGTCTGTGCGAGAGAAGAGAAAAATTGGACGGAAGACTGATGATGCTTTTTTTTGTGGACAGCGATCATTTGATAACATGGTTTTTATGCAGTACGTGTGTGTGCGTGTGTACTAGACCTGCAGGGTGTCGCAGTAAAATGTACTATTATGAGAAGACAAACATTCCAGGACAGTTCACCTACTTCAGTACACGTAAGTCACCTGACTAATCACTTTCATAGGGCCAATATTTTGCATTTCCTGCAGATTTTTTTAATCCGCTCAATGACATCATTGACATAACATTACAGCTCCAAATACATACAAATGACTTTTTTGCATTGTTTTCTCTGATTGTTTTCCGGTCCCCTGTCTATGCTTAGGTCACAACATGGTGAAGGACATCACTGTCGTCGAGACAAACTACAATGAATATGCATTAGTGCTCAAACACAAAGTGTTTCACAGAGAGTACACCCAGGTGGCCCTCTATGGTGAGGCCGACGACGCACACGTGCGCAAGCAACAAACAAGCGCACGTTGTGAACGCGTTGTGTCCCGCAGCATCGCATTGAGACGTGCATTTGCTTGTAGGTCGCACTCCGAGGGTGAGAGTGGAAGTCATTCAGAAGTTCAAAGCCTTTGCTCTGTCTCGAGGGTTTCCAAGGGAAGCCATTCTCACCCCACCGCCAGCAGGTACGAAATGGAATAGTTTGTATTTGTATATATTAATTTATGATTGGCTTTTTCTTTGGCTTTGATGCATTTTTGGATTATGGAAATATGGATTACATTTACTACATTTATCATTGCGTTCTTTTCTGTCCAACAGACAACTGCCCTCCGTCGCCATCTGGATAAGTGAGTTCAATCATAATCAAATATTTAAACCCGTGAGGATTTGTAGCATATCCGGCACCTCTTCACGCCGATGTCTTACATTCCGCAGGTCCCCCTGTCGCTTCTTCCATGTATTCAGTTGGCCTTTTTACCTGCCATCATTTGCTCTCAACTCCTGTCTCTCCTGTTTCACATTTCTACAAATAAATGATTTACAAGTGACAACAATATCCTCCAAACTGTGTGTAGTTCTTGTTTTCCTGTTTTGTGAGGACCACTTTGTGTTTTTAAGATGCTGTCCTGTGACCCTCACACCAAGTAAGTGGAGGAAAATAGATGTTTTGTATTTAAAAAAAAAAAAAAGATGTATGCACGATTTTAAAAGAGGAAGTGGTGAGCTGAATCACGTGGAGATCTTTTAAATAACCACAAGGAGGCAGAGTTTATCTCCAAAATCCAACCGCGACGGTCGCGAATCTGGAATTGAAAAGGCCTTGAATTGCGTCAGAACAAGTCGCAAATCACAAAAACAACAACGATGTAATGTAGAACAGAGCTTTTGTGTTGCCTTGGAATTAGATTCAACACAACAGTGGAATGCTAGTTATGAAGTATGACCGGAAGCTATACAATTATGTACAACATATTTGACGTAATTATTTATTTTTTTAATTCCGATATCAAAGTATGTGTTAATGTTCAAATAATATTGAGGCTTGAATTAATATTAAATGTCCTTTTCAGGAATAACGTTCTCATATTTTTGATGACCAGGCGTCTACTTTTTTTCCATGTGCTTTATTACATGAAAAAAACATGTAACACCTGCAACATCTGCCCCTCTCGGGTGTTGCAGATTTGCGACAACTAAATGCTAATCCTCTAATTAATCCACATTCATATTTTACGAGCCTTTTTTTACTCAAAAGTAACAGTGCAGACCTTCGTTGTGCATGAGCAACAAACAGTTTCCCCAATAGCTCACTAGATGGCGAGTTTTCTCACTTTCAACATGCCTTCCTTTTTGGGTACACATGATAGGATTTTCTCGGCATCCATTTCATGGAAATATTACTACCAATCACCGTTATTTTGAAACCAATACTGTATAAGACGAATCATGACAGTATAGAGATACATTATATGCCAATTTGTAGATTTTATCTCCTCTGGGTTTTCCCCTTGGGTCAGCCGAAATGATCAAATCATCAGCAAGCTCTGCGGAAGCCTGACATTGAACCTGTTCATTTGAATCATGTGTGTTGCAACAGGGAGACTTGGAAAACATACAGGACAGCGGCCCTCTAGGACCTGAGTGTGACGCCCCTGACCTAATCTAAACAAACTCGATGTTGAAATTTACAACGTACATGCAGAACGTACATGCAGACAATGACACTGGGGTCCCAGATGATGATGGACCTCAGCCTGGCCCAGCTCCATGAAACAAAGTTTTTTCTTGGAGGCCGAGGAAACCCCCAGTAGCTGACATAGACCCTTCATTCCAAGGACCTGCATTCTCACCTCCACCAGATGAAATACCAAGTCCAAAGTGGTATTTTGATCAGTTCATGGATGAATCCGTGTTTGAATTTATTTCTGACCAATCAAACCTGTATGCAGTTATGAAGAATGGCCCGGAACTAAAAACAACCCCTTCAGTTGAGGTCAGGCTAGACTGATTCGATCATTTTCCCATCCATGCTGATAAACGTGGACGATGCAGAGTGTGCATGAATGGCTACACACAAATGGCCTGTGTGAAGTGCAAAGTACTTTTGTGCTTTACAAAGAACAAAAATTCTTTCTTGGACTACCACACCAAGAAGTGACCTTCAGACCTGGCCTTCACAATTAGGATTTGAGGCGTCGATATAGTATTATTGGTATTATATCTCAATATTGTTTGATGTAGGGGATGAAAATTTATTGTTAAGCTTTTGCTAAAGAAAAAAAAAGTCTGAATTGTATACTACTACCCGATCAGATAATTTTCCCCAAATATCAGATTTTTCCTGTTACAAAAACTTAATTTGAGCCTCACAGGGTTAAGCATCGCTTGAAGTCAAGAGCTGATTCACTTTTGCGGTGGCACTTGTCAAAAGTTTGGACAAGTTAGTCATTAAGCCCTTAAATACTCATGAATTGATTTCTCAACTTTGCCAAAATTCTGAAGTCCATCAGGAGATGAGTCACAGAACTTTGCTCCTTTCACTTGTTTGTTTAGGTCTCTCGAGGCACACATATAACACGGGTCGATGCCCCCGGTGGCCTTTATGCTGAGACTTCCGAGCATCGGTCCTCACAGAGACGAAAGCGTTGAAAGACTGCGATCATGCGGAAAGTTGCGTTTCTGGCCTCTGTGCTTATCCTGGCATGCATCTGGGCCAGCCAGGCGCTTGTTCTCCCAGAACCTACATATCCTACACAGGAGAATTTCGACTTAACCAGGGTGAGTGGTACTTCTTTCTTCAGGGTTGTTCCTTTTACTTAAAAGTGAATAATTCCAACAACAAAAGTGGAGGCTTGAACTAGTGGAGGTGATGACGCAGATTTTTTTTTGTTGTTTTTTTTGAATCTATATGATATGTGACTGAATTGAACCTCATCGTTTTTATTTATTTATTTATTTTTGCTCAGTAGTAAGAAGTATTGTACTGGGCTGACATTTGTATTGCTCCTACTATATTGGATTCCTGCCACAAAAAATTAAAATATTTCCATACCAGTTTTTAGGGACTTGGCATGATGTCGCTGTGGCAAAGACATGCCCAAATATCGACCACCACAGAATGGACTCTGCAATCGGCAAGCTGGTGCTGCAGAGAGGAGCCGCCGACGATAAACTGGAGATGATCAGAACTGTTCTCAAGTCAGTACATATTGTATATCACAGACAAGTAACCGAGAATCAGCTTTGTGCACAATGTGGTTTGATGCCGTACAAACACTTCAACAACATCCGCCATCATTCACAATGCACAGAGTCAGAACACGTTTTGTGATCAATCCAGTCGACACACAAGATAATTTGCGCTACATGCTAATGTTTTTGTTTGATTACACTTTATTCGCATTTAAAACACTAGCATACAATACACACTGTATCGAACAGACTTTGGATACATTACTGACACAAGGTCTACAACCAAACACAAGTGTAATTAGAAATGACTTTTTCGAGCTAATTAAAAACAATAAAAACGGCATATACAATAGAAGAAGAGCACTAGCTAGCTAGCCAGCTAACCAACTAGCTAGCTGGATAGATAGACAGAGTCAGTAATTTAATAATGTTGACTAATCAAAACCATGTTTCACAAAGTTTTTAATTTTAATGCTGTAAACAGCAAAATTCTCAAACTTTATTTGGAAAAATAATTTACTGATTTGGCGCTAACTACTCTCTTTCTGAACCACCTTTCATGCATCCTGTATGTGCTCGATTGTGCATCGTATGATTTTTGCACGCGTGTGTTCAGAGATGGGACCTGGTATTGTGCATCGTATGATTTTTGATTTTTGCACGCGTGTGTTCAGAGATGGGACCTGTAAGCAGAAAAGTGGAGACTATCATCTGACGACAACACCAGGACGTTTTCATTTTACGAGTAGGTTTTTTTTTCTAGTCATTCAAAGCACATTGAGAAGTAGAGTGGGCAAACTCGATTTTTGTTAATCTTGCCGGAGGGTGATTTAAATTTTCATGGTTGCAATAAAATATGAAGCATTTATTCCTCAATGATTTTGGTACATTTTAACTCCGTTTTTATTGAGACCTTTATTCATGATCTGAACAACGTAACACACAAATGGAGTGAGCCTGCTCTTGTTCTCACTGGCCCAAATGACAAACACAGCACAACGTTCCATTTTCCCTGCAGAGTGGGGCACTGAAGTAGACGCCTACGTGGTGCACACTAACTACGAGGAATACGCCCTGATGATATCGGTCAAGGAGAGGTCACCGGGCCAGAGCAGCATCTCAGTGAAGCTTTACAGTATGTGGACGCTCGTTGTGCAACATCACCTTGTTTGCTTATCCTCAGTCGGGTTGTTGCAAACCTCCCACAGGTAGGACCATGGACGTGAGGGACACGGTGCTGGATGACTTTAAAAGGCTGGTCAGAGAGCAAGGGATGAGTGATGACACCATTATCATCAAACAGAACAAAGGTACAGCACACGGCAATGATGCTTTCCAAATAGCAGTTTCTCCAGCAAATGTTTGTTTGAACGATTATGTCCCCAAATAAATTTGCAGAAGACGGCAGGTATTAGGGTAACGTGAAGCATATGAACAAATTAAGGCCAAATCCAGATGATGTAATGCATGACTTGATATTTTTAGCCTCACATCAAGTCAGCCGGGACGCTTGTTTTGTTTTTTTCTGACTTAATTTTTTTTTTTTTTTTTTGCAGGTAACTGTGAACCTGAAGAGCAGGTCGAAGAACCGGCAACTGTTTTTGAAGTAAGCAAAGTGATAATTATAAAAATGAACTCTGGTCAACAGCAAATTTTAATCAGATGTGGCTTTATGTGATCCTTGCAGAAAAAAAAGTTGACCGACTAGCACAAGCGGTGCAAAAGTTGTCATGAAGTTGCTTTGTTTCTTTCTTGTTGTGGTATTTTGAGAGCTTTCCCGACAACCCTTCATCCCAGTCCACACATCTAATAGGGGCAACATCGTCCACCACACTGGCTGAAAAATCCATGACTACTTTTTTGTCTTGCCTATAGTGGTCTTACTTACGGGCTACGAAAAGCGATGACAGCATTAAAATGTGTTAATATTGTATATGCCTGTGACACAGAGGATGAGGAGGGATGTATTACCAACTGTGGCTCTGGCAGAAATGGAATTGGACGGTTCTGGTGATAACATGCTCACGTTCAACGGATCGGGTAAGAGCTGCAAAAAAAAAAAAAAAAAAATCGAGTCTTCAGAGGGTCAAAATTTTTGTCGTCCCCTCAGAGGCGTGCAATCTAGGGCCGGAACCGGGGCCGTGTTTCGGCATACACCAGCATTACTTCTACAACTCCAGCGCCATGAGCTGCCAGATGTTCAGATACGGAGGCTGTCTGGGCAACAAGAACAACTTCAAGACTGAGAGGGAGTGTCTGCAGAGGTGTCGCACTGAGGGTGAGCATACACAAGTGATGTATACAGAACTGAGGTTTTTTTTTTAAATTTAATTATTATTTCAAGTATTGATATGATGCCGTGTG